GCACTACAAAATAAATCAATAAAAATTTTATTTCAAATTCCATTTCGAACCCACACAAATGATTTATTCTCACAGACTGAACTACACCCAATTAAATATCTACTTAAACTTGAGCAATGCAAGAACATATATAAAAAAAAAAATCAAAAGCAACAACGATCTACTAGTCAACAACCAGTTTTATGAGTATAATACAAGGGGTAAAAATGACTTACACCTGAGCATGGTAAGAACGAACAAAGGATTATACAATCCTTTTACACATGCTATAAAAATCTTCAATGAATTACCTGTCCATATACGTGAGTTGCCGGGCATTCATCAATAGTTTAAAAGAACATCTGAGCCTCGAGGCACATTACTGAAACGTTGATACTATGAGCTTTATAGTGTCTTAACTATGTCGAACTATATGCTGTTGTTATATTTTAAATAAAAAAAAAAATATTCAACAGTTTTATGGAAATATAGGTATCACATAATAACTATTCCTATTTGTACTAATGTATGTGGCTGCTACGCCACTGGTGTAAGGCTAAGGGCGTATGCCCAGAGAACAGTTTCCAGATCAGGAAACAGTGGGGTCAGTCAGTATCGATCGGCGGCTGTGGTTGTAACTATAAAATGTATAAAGCGAACAATGTAAACGTGGTTGTACCTGATGTATATGTATGTGTGTGAATCTCTCTGGATATTATCGATGTCAATAAACCTATATCTATCCAAAATATCAACAGATTATTTCCACCACCACCTACATAACAGTATTTTTATGGAATGTACCGTTTTGTTATTATTAATTCCTGAATTTGAATTTGATAGGTTCAAAACACCCTCAAAACAGTTTTATTTCAATTTAGTTCGTATGAATTACATGGTTACAAGAGTCATTGGTAACAGATGTCAAAATGGAGTTCCAAGGTATTTCCTTACTTATGTCCTAGGAAACCATTTTTAATTATCACATAATCTCTCATTCCAAATAAACTCGTAAATATCGCCCTCTTGAAATATCTGCCTCTATACTCAGCTCTGTTCTGAATAGGAAATTGGTTACATTTTAATACATACCGTTAGTTCCTGTCCAACATTAGAGTAAATATTAATCTGTTTCATTTAAATGAAGTATTTAGTGAACCTTGTATACATAGAAATGTTTCAGATGATTCACATGAAATGTTGAACATAATTGAGTGCGCCTTTTTACTAATTCACATGTTACTAATTCACATGGTAAATTCACATGTTTCGCTGATGACACCACTATCCTCTGGCATAGCAATACATCCTCCAATTTACTTGATCAAATCATCGTCGACATAAAAACGGTTAAAGAGTGGTGTGATTCCAATCTCTTATCATTGAACATCGATAAAACAAAGGTGATCACGTTTAGATGTAACATAGGGGAAGTACACTTGGAAAATGTAAAAATTGAAAATTTGGAGAAAAACAAATTTTTAGGGCTCTTCATTGATGAAAATCTAAAATTTGATTTCCATGTCGACTACTTATGTAAAAGACTAGCAGCAGGATGTCATGCAGTGAGAGTTGTTGCAAGAGAGTTGGACACTACTATCACAAGATCAGTTTATTTTGCACAAATTGAATCCTATTTACGTTATGGAATTTGTTTCTGGGGAAATTGTGCAAAATTTCGTTTCAATATGGTAGTCTCTCTACAAAAAAGAGCCATCAGATATTTATGCAAGGCTAGCTACAGGGATTCATGCCGCCCATTATTTGTGAAGCAAAAAATTCTGACCTTAGTATGTCTTTTTATTTTGGAAACAGTGTGTCTTATCCACAAAAAATATAAAAATCAATTTGGGAACACCGCAACTTATAGTACACGTCAGTCTTACTCCGTTTCCCTTCCCACACCTTCTCTAGCCCTTACACAAAATTCTATTATTTTCAATAGCAAGAAGTTATTTAACCACCTTCCCATTAATTTAAGGCGAATATATAATGGAAAGAAATTCAGAAAGAAAGTGAAAGAATACCTTGTTGGGAGGCCCTATTATAGTGTGGACGAATTCTACCAAGGCTCTATCGAATAATTGACATGTAGCTTTGTGTAAACAAGTTATTGAAACCAACACAAAATGGCTATCAATGTTCATTATGTAGAATTATATATTTACGTTTACTTAATATTCATAAATTCATGTACTTATATTTGTAGCTGTTCAGCTGGACTTAATATTGTTCTGTCCATATACTCTGCTCCGGTGTTTAAGCATTATTTTATAGTTTATATTTGTTAATTGTCCCTTATACATGTTTTACTTTACTAGACTTTGCCAATAAGATGTTTATATCTTGGGTAATAAAGCATATCTTGATTTGATAATTAATCGTCAAATCAGGAGCATTGTAAATAAATAATGATATTACAGGAATTTAGAAATGAACAGAATAACTCTTCTTATTTTTATGGAATGTACCGTTTTGTTTCCATTCGTTTCTGCATTCGAATTTAATAGCTTCAAAACAACCTCAACGCGAATAGTTTTGTTTCAATTCAGTTTATATGAATTAAAATGATGCTCAAAAATACTTTGGTAATAAATGATAAAACGCCGTTTCATATTCTAAACCTTCACGATATGTAGCTGAGGAATAAAAGGATTAATCAAAATTAAAGAAGACCAAGGGGCTTGTGAGGAGGATTCAAATTCAATTTGTGATACGAGTCTGTGTGAGATAACTATGCCTCTTTATGTCAAAAAATGGGCAGAACACGCAGGTAAACTCCAATGCAAGATGCAGATACTCAAAATGAGATAAAATTTAACAAACTCTATTAAACATATGCCATCTCGACAAACTAATGGTAATGGTTTAATGGCATTGGACGGTTCATCTTATTTGTAATGGCCAATTTTTTGTTTGATATATAATTTATCAAATAAAACTTGTCAATTTTCACCTCAAGAAAATGTTCTAAAACTCAATAGTAGCTGAACTGGAGAGGCTATATAAACTGTTAGATGCTTTTCATAACACCACAAAATCCTGGTGAAATTTTAGATATTCTTGAAAGGAAATATAGCCAGCCGTCCAGAACAGATATTGGATGAATTTATCAGAAGTATGTCAGTTGTCAAAAGGTGAAAGTCTAGAATCTTTCATGAATTTCAGTAGTGATGTTCTTAATATATCGTCTGTTCTGGATGGAAATTTCAATATATTCGATCAGTTGAAGTCATCATTCATAATCACTACGTTGATGATTACCTAGATGGTCTCATTAAAGAGACGATCAAGCTGGTAAGCGATGTCATTCATGTTATTATCGTTCATAGCAAAAATACCAAAGTATCTTTTGTCGGAATAATCAAGTATGGACGTTGATATACAAATAAAGGATGAAAAAATTCTGGGAATGATCTGGCATTCATCTAAAGACTGTTTTCACTCCAAACTAAAATTTCACAAAGTCTCTGATCAAATCGTAAACGGTTTGAAAATACCTTCAAAACGTCAAGTACTCAAAATGGTCATGTTGGTATATGATCCCATTGGTCTATTGTCACAGATAAGTATAAATTTAAGAATACTTCTGTAAAATTTATGGAGGGCAGGTATCGGATGAGATGATTATATTAGCGAAAAAATGTTCATAAAATGGAGATTCTGGTTGAAATAATTAAATGAAGCTATGAAAATTCATATTTTTTTTGCTACTCCTACAATACGAAGAATGCCTTGTTCACTCAGTTTTACATTTTTTTGGACGTGAGTGAGGATGCATACGATACTGCAATCTATCTTCATTTGAAATTTGAGAATAACGTAGAAGTTATATTGGTAGCAAGCAGGAGTGGTACCAATTGAAAACTTTTTTTTATTAAAAATATAACAACAACGTACAGTTCAACATAGTTAAGACACTATAAATATAAAATATGTTGTTATTCTCCCTAATCAGCAAAAATTCTGGTCTCGGGATTCACAAACATTCANACTACAAAGATTGAGTGCAAAAAAATCGGAAAAAATTGATTTTCTTGAAGAGCATGTCAATACTTTAGTAATAGAATTGCAAAAAAAATCCAAGCTACTGCAGAGTTATATCCTCCGAGAACAATCTGGGACTTTAACATCTGACAAAATGGACAGTAACAAGGTGAGTAATTTAGAGAGCTTATAATGACCAAGCTTAAGAAAGACATCTCATATTAGTGAAACTTTTAAGGCATATGGTTTATCTTCAAACTTCCATTACCAAAAAATGTTAACATTTGCAATATAAAAATACAAATGGAAAAATGTTTGGATTATTTGATTTAAAAAAAAATTAAATGATAGTTCGGTCAAGATCCAATAAAGTTTAAATCTAATTATTGAAACAATAATGGCTGCCCTGTCGAGGTCGAAATAAAGCAAGTGTTTTAAAGACCAGTTATTGAAAAATACTTTGCGCAAATTTTTTATTGATATTTTTTGAAATCGTTATGTAGGTATTATAAATACAAAAGTGGAAATGAAAATTATTATTGTAAAATCTTAAATGTTGTGAAGTGATATCAAAATACCGTTCCTTGTCAAAGAAATGAGAAAAACCTAAATTGATTTGCAATATGTCATATGTTGTTGTCACAACAGTTGATACTGGTTGTGTATTCATCAAAAATGAGATCTGATTTTGATCACTCAAAAGTAAAGCAGAATCGCATTTATAAGCTTTTGGAACTTTTTTTTTAAATAAAAATATAAAAATAGCATTCAGTTCAACACAGTTAAGACACTATAAATATAAAATATGTTGTTATTCTCCCTAATCAGCAAAAATGCTGGTCTCGGGATTCACAAACATTCAACATGACAAGTGAAACACAAAAACTAGTAAACCATTACTAAGCTCATAGTACTAACGCATCAGACATGTGTCTTGAGGCTCAGATGTTCTTTTAAACTATTGATGAATGAACTATAGCCTGGCAACTCACGTATATGGACAGCTAATTCATTGAAGACTTTTATAGCCTGTGTAATAGGGTTGTATAATCTTTTGTTCGTTCTTACCATGCTCAGGTGTAAGTCATTTCTACCCCATGTATTATACTCATAAAACTAGTTGTTGATTAGTAGATCATTGTTGCTTTTGATTCTTTTATTTTTTATATGTTCTTGCATTGCTCAATTTTAAGTAGATATTTAATTGGGTGTAGTTCAGTTTGTGAGAATAAATCATTTGTTTGGTTTGAAATAAAATTTTTATTGATTTATTTTGTAGCGTTTGAATTTTTTTGAAATTAGTAATGCCCCAATTACCCCATATGATTAACAGATACCTAAGATTCGCCAATATATATGCATTGTAAACCAAGTGTCTATTACTGAAACTAAGTAAGTGGAACACCTATATAGAGCTCCTAATATTGGTACAATTTTATCATTAATATGACCAGTTTAACTCGTCATCTATTATGAGTCCCAAATACTTGGTTTTTTCAACATTCATTAAGGGTGTTATTTATTCTTAATTCAATTTTACCACAAATTCTATTTTTTTTGTTTAAATAGCATGTAAACGGTTTTTGCAGCGTTCACNTTTTTTTTTATTGTTTCTCAAATTTGAGTAACCATCATTTTGAAGATTATCAGTCATATACCAAAAACAAAGTTTTCATTGGTATTACTCAGCACCGTCATATTTTAAGAAGATCCTAATTTTTGCATATATGCAATGGCATAGGATATAGAAAGTGATACATTTTTTTATCGAATAGAATCATTTAGAAAAGTTTTCTTTAAACGACATTTTTTTTGGAGCACTCAATATTTTAGACTTTTTTTTTATTTATAACCTTCCACAATCTGAAAAAATAAAAGATAAATCAATAGAGAATATACTGAAGTGTATGTAGTAAAGGGCAAACTGAAAAGTTCACCCCGAAAAATGACTGCGTAATATAAACTACTGGAAAGTCCAATTAGTAACTTGTCGTATTCATAACATGAATGAATTATGATTTGTTCATTATATTTTTTATTCTACCAAGTCATAGCTTCTACTAAGTCATAGTTTTTTTTATCAGGTAATCTGAACATTTTCCCATTTGTATTTTTATATTGCGATTATTAACATTTTTTGGCAATGAACGTTTGAAGATAAATCATATGCCTTAAAATGGTTTTCGAAAAAACAAAGACATTTCTTTTTGGAAAAAATTCATTTGAAAAACTCATTTGAAATCTTCTCAAACAGTGTCATTTATAGTGCTGATTTTTCACGCTTTTTCTGTAATGGCGGGTTCGCGCGTACTTCCCGCGCAATTTGGTTGACTTGGATTTGAAGCCATCATTAAATATACATCATTGACGAAAATTTCCGTCATTCAAATTTTCATCTTGTAGCCAACAGGTGGAGTCTCTCCACCTCATCACCAGGTTCAAGAGTATGTGAAAACTCTGGCTTGAATTGTTTCAATTTATGTTTTTCAAACAACTCTGTATTTTCCTTTCATGCGAATCCAATTCGTTGAACTTATTTCTTTTACTACATACAATATCTTGGATTATTGTATTGTATTATCAGTTTTCCTATTTGGTCCACCTTATTTGTAATTCACAGAACCAGTTTCCCTGTAAATATTATTCACTACACATATGTATGTGAAATAGTTCTACTATTAGGCTTTCTCCTGTTGAATTCCTCTGCGGCTTTTTGGTAACTCCTTACATTATCATTTAATAATCATATTATTTGATACACTCTTGAACATTCAAAAGATGCATCAAATGAAAATTTGGGTCTTCTCTCTAACCATAATTCTAATTTCGAAAGCTTCAGCATATAAATCTTGTACCAATCATTAAAGAAATCATATCTTTTAGAAGG